GGTTTCTACAATAGTGAATCTCTACTGGCTTGTGCCCGGGGGTTTTACCCAATTGGGTTTCTCCGTCAACATGTTTATTGTGTTTTTACCGCTTTAATTTATTTACTTGTCAGTGGTAATCCAACATAGGTAGATAAATCACGTGAATTAATCTGGACAAACTATAATTTGTGTGACTTGTTGCATGAATTATTCAAAAAGTTTTTAATTCCGCAAGAACACCTATTCACCCCACCTCTAGGTGTTAGTTGGGTCGAACGATAAGTTTTTCAAGTGGTATCAGAGCTTAATCTCGAGTCTTGGCCCATAGTTGTCTAGATGAGTCAATCACTGTCTGTACCTCCATTTTTCGACGGAAGTAATTATGCATATTGGAATGTTAGAATGCGTGCGTTCCTTAAGTCCTTAGATGAGCATGTTTGGATTAGCGTTCAAAATGGTTGGAAACCTCCATCTACTACCGTATCAGGAACAATTAACCTTACTGACATATCACTGTGGACTAAAGATGAATTAGCTGCATGTAATTGGAATAGTAAGGAAATTCATGCATTATTCATGGCCATATCTCCAGAAGAGTTTAGGAGAGTGTCTATGTGCGAAACTGCTAAAGAGGTTTGGGACATTCTTAAAACTACACATGAGGGAACTAAGATAGTAAAGAACTCAAAATTGCAAATGCTAGCCTCTAGGTTTGAAGAAGTGAGGATGAAAGATGATGAAACCTTTGATGAGTTTTACACTAAACTAAATGATATAGTTAACTCTAGTTTCAACCTAGGTGAGAGAATTCCCGAGACTAAGATTGTGAGAAAAGTACTTAGATCTCTGCCTGAGAGATTTAGGCCTAAAGTCACTGCCATTGAGGAAAGTAAGGACCTAGATGAAGTTAAGATCGAAGAATTGGTAGGATCCTTGCAAACCTATGAACTCACCATCTCACAACATAAGAAAGGAAAGTCCATAGCCCTAAAATCCATTAAAGAAGATGTATCTTCTGATACTAAGTCACTTAGGGATGAGGAAATCGCATACTTTGTTAAGAAATTGCAAAAAGTCCTCAAGAATAGGAGAAAGCCTCAGGATAGGAAGAGTGGAGCCCCTAGCAGATTCACAAAAGATAAAATTGAGAAAGTTAACAATAAAGGGTCAAGTGAGAAGACACGTTTGGTTAGATGTCATGAGTGTCAAGGAATAGGTCACTATAGGAATGAGTGTCCTAGCTATAAGAAAAATCAAAGAAAAGGGAAAGATAGGGCCTTAGTTGTCTCACTTACTGATAATGAATCTGAGACCAGTGATAGGCCAGAATCCTCTAGTAGTGATGATGAAGGAAATTATATGGCATTTGTGGCTACTGTTAAGAGTGAATCTGATAAGGAAAGTGACAAGGTTGAGGAAGAAAATTCAAACGATAATTCTGGTAATGAGAATGAGGATGAGGATGACATATACTTACAAGAAGCTTATCAACTGTTGTTTAAGGAGAGTCTTAAAATAAAGAAGGTCAATAAAGCCCTACTTAAAAAGGTTGACGAACTTGAAAGAGAAAAAGAGCAACTGGGTAGTAAGCTTCAGGATTCACTTAAGAGTGGTAGTGAGTTAAAGTGTGTCAATGAGAAATTGGAAGACAAGGTTAAGAGTTTGACTAGTGAATTGGAGAAATCTAATGCTCATCTTCAGACATTCATAAGTGGAACTAATAAATTGGATAACCTGTTGGGAATGAATAAGCCAATGGGAGATAAGAGAGGTCTAGGATATGTTGAGGGTAATACACATGTTGCTGGACCATCTAAGACTGTCTTTGTGTCTGCCTCTAAGTCTAATGCTGTTAGGAGTCCAAGTAAGGGTAAGAGTGTTCCTAGGGAACAAAGTCATCAATCATGTAGGAACATCAGGACTAGGTACCCACAGACACGTACCTTTGAGCCTAGGTTCATTCCCACCTGTCACCACTGTGGAGCTCTAGGACACACTAGGCCTAGATGTTATAAGTTAGGCAATGAGCGTTGAAATCAAAACATTCCTAGTCAGGTTAGCTTTTTGTCTAATCAGGTTAGTCATTTGACTGAGATGCTTACTAAGCTAACTAAGAGTACTTTGTCATCTAAAAAGATTTGGGTCAAAAAGGGTGATCTAGGAAGACTTTCAGGTCAAGAAAACTGTTTTGTTGCTCATGTTGCTTTAAAAGCTCAAAATTCTAATATGTGGTACCTGAATAGTGCATGTTCTAGGCATATGTGTGGTAATAAAGCTCTATTCACTACTCTTGATGAATGTAATGGTGGTATGGTTACCTTTGGAGATGGGGGCTCTGCACCTATTCTTGGCAAAAGTACTATACAAATGCATGGTTTACCTGTGATCTCTAATGTGCTTTATGTGGAAGGTTTAAAGTCAAATTTGTTAAGCATTAGTCAGATTTGTGATGACGACTTTGAGGTTAGTTTTGTGCAGAAGAGATGTACCGTGTATGATTCATCCGGTGGGGTAGTCCTTGAAGGGGTTAGAACATCTGACAATTGTTATGGGGTATTACCTAATTCTAACTATGTTTGTAGGAGTGCTAAAATTGATGTGAGTGAGCTCTGGCACAAAAGATTAGGTCATTTGAACTATAAGAGTCTAGAGCAGTTGGCTAAGAAAGAATTAATAGATGGGCTGCCTAAGATAGTTCCTAGTGAAAATGTTGTGTGTGGACCATGTCAACTAGGTAAACAACTTATGGGGAGCCATAAGAAGACTACTAAAATTCTGATCAAAAGACCCCTGGAGTTGGTACACATGGATTTGATGGGACCTTCTAGGACTGAGAGTTTAGGTGGTAAGCGATACATTCTTGTTGTGGTAGACGACTTCTCGAGGTTTACTTGGATAGAATTGCTTAGGGAAAAATCTGATGCTAGTGACCTCATAAAGTCTCTGTGTAAACGGCTTAGCAATGAACTGAATCTCAAAGTGTTTAGGATGCGTAGTGACCATGGAAAAGAGTTTGAGAACTTTAATCTTGAGAGTTTCTGTATGGACGAAGGGATATTGCATGAGTTCTCTTCCCCTATCACTCCACAACAAAATGGGGTAGTTGAAAGGAAGAATCGTGTCCTTCAGGACATGGCTAGAGCCATGCTTCATGGCAAGGAATTAGCCCTATACTTTTGGGGAGAAGCTATTAACACTGCATGCCACATCATCAATAGAGTCTATCTTAGACCCAAGACTGATCAGACCCCATACCTTAGACCCAAGATTGATCAGACCCCATATGAAATTCTTAAAGGTAAAAAGCCTACTGTTAAGTATTTTAGAGTATTTGGGAGTAAGTGCTACATTTTGCGGGATAGAGAGAAGTTGAGTAAGTTTGAATCAAAGAGTGATGAAGGGATCTTCCTAGGGTACTCTAGGAATAGCCGAGCATTTAGAGTGTATAACTTACGTACCCGTGTGGTGATGGAGTCTATAAATGTTGTAATAGACGATGCTGTTAGTGAGGGGGAGAGTGCTGAAAAATGTGATAAAGATGCTGATCTTTTGAGTTCAAGTGATCCTACTGAGCTACCTGTGCCTGAATCATCTGAAAAGGAAACGCTTCCACAAAATCTAGATAAAAGTCCTAAGGAACCATCGACTAGGGTTAAGTCTAGTCATCCTAAGGATAATATTATTGGGGATCTAGATGAAGGGATGAGACTTCGTAGGAGAGTACTGAACAATCTAGCGTACACTAGCTATATTTCTCAGGTAGAGCCTAAGAAAGTTGAAGAGGCCCTTAGTGATGAGTGTTGGGTGAATGCGATGCATGAGGAGCTAAATCAATTTGCTAGAAATAATGTGTGGATCTTAGTTCCCAGACCTGAAAATTGTAATGTTATTGGTACCAAGTGGATCTTTAAGAACAAGACAGATGACCAAGGTACTATAACTAGGAATAAGGCGAGATTAGTTGCTCAGGGGTATACTCAAGTTGAGGGGATTGATTTTCATGAGACTTTTGCCCCCGTTGCATGACTTGAGTCTATTAGGATTCTGATTGCTGTTGCATGTACCTTAGGCTTCAAGTTGCACCAAATGGACGTTAAGAGTGCCTTCTTGAATGGACTTCTTCAGAAAGAAGTATATGTGGAACAATCTAAGGGATTTGTTGATCCAAAATTTCCCCACTATGTCTACAAACTTCACAAAGCACTCTATGGTTTGAAGCAAGCTCCTAGAGCTTGGTATGAGAGACTTACATCATATCTGCAAAAACATGGATTCTCTCGAGGTGGCGCAGATAGGACCTTATTCATTAGATATATAGAAGAAAATTTTACCATTGCTCAGATTTATGTCGATGATATCATTTTTGGATCTCCTCTTGAGTCTTTAGCATTTGAGTTTGCTGAGTGTCTACAGAGAGAGTTCGAGATGAGTATGGTTGGGGAGTTAAGTTATTTCCTTGGACTTCAGGTACGACAGACAGAGGATGGACTGTTTATCTCACAGTCTAAGTATGCTAAGGATCTCGTTAAGCGATTTAGGTTAGATAGTAAGAAGCATACTAGGACACCGATGAGTACTACCTTAAAGTTAGGTCGTGATCCTTCTGGTAAGAGTGTAGATCCTTCCCTATATCGTAGCATGATAGGTAGTCTTCTCTATCTCACAGCTACTAGGCCTGACATTGCCTTTAGTGTAGGAGTGTGTGCTCGCTTTCAGGCGGATCCAAAAGAGTCACACCTAAGCTCTGTTAGACGCATAATCAGGTATATCAGTGGTACAGTGGATCTAGGGATATTCTATTCTAGGAATTTCAATCTTGATTTGGCTGGATACTCCGACGCCGATTGGGCCGGAAATGCAGATGATAGGAAAAGTACGACTGGG